TGTGTGGTATATGTCTGTGTGTGTATATGTGTATGGTATGTGTCTGTTTGTGCATGTATGTGTCTGTGTCTATGTATTTGCATATGTGTATATGTATGTGGTGTGTGTGTATGTGTCTGTGTATGTTCATGTGTGTATGTGGTGTGTATCTGTGTGTGTGTGTGTGTGTGTGTGTGTGTGTGTGTGCTTGAACACATGGTCACCAGATGCTGGTGGTGTTTTGGAAGGCTGGAGACCTTTTGGAAGGCAGAGCCTCACTGGAGGAAGTGATTGCTAGCTTTATTGCTTGGTCCCCTTCCTGTCCACTCTCTACTTCCTGATAGTAAACATGATATGACCAGCTGCCAATCCTGCTTCATCATGGTGGACTGTATCTCCATGAAATATAAGGGGAAATAACCTTGTGCCTCTAGCTGTGTCTGTCAGGTACTTTTGTCTTAGTAATGGGAAATACATGGCCAGAATTAAGGACACAAAAGATACCTAAGATACACTGACCAGACCTTGTCACTTTCTGGCTTTGGGCAGGAATGAGAAGTAGACCTGGGGCTGGAGAGATGGCTCAGCAGTAAGAGGGTCTACGGCTGCTTTACAAAGAACCTGAGCTCTATTCCAAGCATCCCCGTTGGGTGACTCACAACCATCACTTCTGCTCCAGGGGATCTAACACACTATCCTGGAGTCAGCAGGTACACTCACAAATGCACATAGCTCCCCCCCCCACATAATGTGCATATAATTTAAAATAAAAGAAATCTTTAATATGTGGAAGAGAACAACTGACAATCTCCAACCGTGGGTTGGAAGACTGAGGGTGGAAGGATCTGTCTAAAGATGGCAAGCTAGGAAAAGAAATTTTGTGAATGATTAACAAGCTGCCCAAATGGGGGCATCTGATCTGTCCGATATGGAAAGAGGAGCAGTGCCGGGAACAGACTGGGAAGTCAGTTCCTAGGGAAATGTCTGGACTGCTTTAATCAGACACTCGTGGAAATGGTTTTCTCTCAGGTCTAACAGTAACCATCATGGCTGCTCTGTCTTTAGGTGAATTCCCTGGACCTGCTGTTGGGGGACTAAGTGATAGTTATGCTTTCCCTGTTTGCATCTGGTTCCCAGCACTGTGATCATATTTGGGTTTCTTATCTTACTGAAAGCTGAAAGAAGCAGTTCCAGGAATTGGCAAAAATTATCTCCCAGCAGAAACTTTGTTCTCACCTGCCCTGTCTCCTCCTACCTGTTCCCTTCTGTTACCAGAGGCTTCTCTGGGTGGGTGGTAGAGGCCATGGAAATGACAGCATCATGGGCCACATCTTTTTCTCCTTCGTGCAGCAGAGGAAGGACGTCTTCTTCAGTCAGCTCAGCCGATTTCTTCTTACTCCCATGATGAGACCCTCCGTCAATCAGGTTCCCAAAGTTTCCTTCAGAGACAAGAGCAATGGGCTGGGTGTCAGTGAGTGGGGTCGGTCAGTCAGCTTGGCAAACCCCACACCCTCTCACAGCAAGGAGCTAAGATCTGAGGCTAAAGGCGGAAAGAACAACCGATGGAGAACAGGAAAATCAGATTGACAAAGTTAACGATTCTTATTTTCTTGTTCGTAAAATCTACACAAGTTGCCAATTAAGAAAGACTTCAAGGAAAAAGAAAATACACTGGAGATTTTATAGTCATGTTAATTTTTTTACCTATTTTAATTTTATTACATTATTTTGTGTGTGTACATATGTTTCTGAGACACGCAGGAGCTGGGTTCCCTCCTTCCACCTGTGCGTCCCAGAGACCAAGGTCAGGTGATTGTGCTGAGCAGCAAAATGCCTCAGCGCTCTGTTAAAAGTTATCCCCACATTTAACATCTTACTGTATACCTCCTACCGAAACTCGCCATGGAGACTTGATAAACTACCATTCTGGATGTGTGATTTGGTAATCAGGTTTTATTTCAGCTCAATCAAATATTAGGAAACTTCTCAAAACTGCCTCTTCTCTAAGAGAAGTGTGAGTACCCAAGGATGACATCATGTTTTTTAAGAGAGTGAGTATTGGAGAGAGACGGGGAGTTGGGGAGGGGAAACGTCTTCGTGTGAGAGAAGGTCTCTCACATGGAGACAGTATGCACAGTGACCACACACTCTACCCCAGCTGGGATCTGAGAGCTGAAAGGAGAAATGGTCATTGGCCCCATCCATAACTCAGAAACAATTTCCATTGATAACCACTTTCCAGTGGAAATTTAGTTTCCTCCAAGGGAGTCTCACTGGGAAAACAAACAACCCTTAAGGGTAGGCCGCATGCCCACCATGATGACGTACAGAAAAGAAACTCAGCAACAGCTTTGGAGCTTCCGGGTCTCATAATGTCACATCGGAGCTTTCCTTTTTACAATTCTTATTATTTTTTAAAAATATTTATTTATATATTATTTATGATTTTTATATTTTTATTTATATATGTCTCAATTTCTCTATTTTTATTTTATATTTTATATTTCTATATTTCTTTTATTTATAATTTTTTTCTCTATTTCTACTACTGGTCCTTTGTGCATATAGACTGGCTCCCAGCTTAGTGTTTTTATGGGCTTTCTCACTGTTCAGATGAGTGGGTGTATGTTTCTTGTGCCTTCTTCTGACCAATTCTGTGTTAATTTTTGTTATATCATATTATCATATCATATCTCCCTTAGAAGCCTGTTTGCTCTCTGAAGAGAGACAGAGAGGGGACGGGATGTGGGAGGCTGCAGGAGGGGGAATAGAGGGAGTAGAAATCATTATCAGGATAGACCACATGACAAGAAGCATTTATTTTCAGTAAATCAATAAAAGGAGAAAAAAAAAGACAAGGCGTCTCCTGTCAGAATTCTGTCCTTCCCAGTTCTAACAAATATCTTCATCCTGTGAACATGCAGCCATGGAGCTCTGCCAGGCCTCCAGCTGTGGAGCTCAAGACAGTAGTTCATCTCTACTTCCCTCTGCCCTGTTTCACAACAGAACTGCCTGGACCTGAATCTGTTCTTCTCTGATGGAGTTAGTGCTCCTAGCTGAGCTGCACATTAGCCAAGGAAGATGGCTGGGGATTATGGCTGTAGCCTCTATTGTATGACGTGTGGCATCAGTTCTTCAAATCTCGCAATTCTGGGAGGAGTCATTATAATTCCCACTGTGTAATGAGGAAACCAAGATCCAGAGAACTTAAGTCATCCCAAAATTATGGAACCAAGATCAGTAACCAAAGTCCCTGAATCTAAACCTACACTGATAATTGTTTTGGTTTTGTATGTATGTATGTATGTATGTATGTATGTATGTATGTATTATGTATGTATGTATGTATGTATGTATTATGTATGTATGTATTATGTATGTATGTATTATGTATGTATGTATTATGTATGTATGTATGTATATATGTATGTATGTATGTTTTTTTAAATCTACAGAGATAAATCTACTCTTTATGTGTTGACGCTGGGTAGCCAGGGAAGTAAAATTCCCTTTTGAGGTGCTAACTATAATCTCCACTACATTAGTTCACTTATTCACGAGACAAACACTCCCCAAATCCTGCATGTGTCTGCACTCACCAATAGAAACTTCGAAGCTGATAGGTTTGTCTCCAATCTTCCTGTCAATCATGGTAGCTTCAAAAAAGGCTCCAAAAAGTAAAAAGTCCTCATATTTTTCCGGTACAATCTACAGAGAGGAAAAAAAATTGCTAGACAGAGCTGGCTTCCTTTCCTCTCTAGAAAGCCAAGTTAGCGGAACACATTTGGTCTAGTATAGTCCATTGACGTCTGAGTCTGGAAATGCTATGCCTTGCCACTAAGCAGACAGGCAGCAATCGTAGCCAACAAACTCACATTCAAACTCAGCTAGCCACTGGTCTAAAAATGACACAGAATCACCCTCTGAACTGCTAGCTTAACATACAGGGAAAACAGTCTCCTTTTATGGCAAAAGATGAGCTTGGTATGTGTCTTCCCAAGATGCTGTTTGGGGTGGGAGGCAGCACTGAACAGGTGTTTATCCTCAGTACATCAAAGGTGAGATGCTGAGAGTCACAACACTGGACTCTTACACATGAGCGTAACTGTATAGCTCAGATGCAGTGCTCACATATATTTATTAGTGCTCCTTATAACAACTTTGAGAGCCTGGAATCTAAACCATTCCCATGTGTTCTTTGAGATTAACATATGCTAACCTGTTGTCTTGGTCCTGATCCATAGTCAATGTTTACTTCCTTAAGTAGTTAGTGTGGTGGTTTGAATAGGTTTGGCCCCCATAGACTCATGTGTTTGATTGCTTGGCCCATGGGGACCGGCACAATTAGGAGGTGTGGCCTTGTGGGAGTAGGTGTGGCTTTGCTGAAGGAAGTGTGTCACTGCCGGAGCAGGCTTTTAGGTCTCCTAGTGCTCAAGTGTGGAAGAGCCTCCTCCTGGCTGCCTGCAGAAGGCAGTCTCCTCCTGGCTAACCTCAGATCAAGATGTAGAAATCTTGGCTCCTCCAACACCACGTCTGTCTGCGCACTGCCATGCTTCCTGCTATGATGACAATGCAGTAAGCCAGCCCCAAGTACAATTAAATGTTTGCTGTTATAAGAATTGCCTTGCTCATGATGTCTCTTCACAGCAATAAAACTCTAAGGCAATTAAGAAACTCAGATAAGAAAGAGGGAAGTGTTAAGCATAGCAAAAGCATCAACCAATCCTGTGTATCTGGGGTGCCATACACACTGAAAGCTGTTGGAAGGGATCCAACCTCTACCGTTTATGTTTATAAAATAAAGTGCAGAAAGATTAAGGGGCTTCCAAGGTCACACAGCAAGATTAAATCAGCTATGGCTTAAGACCTATTCTTCACCAAGGCTGTGTGGTCAAGTAACCTACAGGTAATCTGGAAGGCTGGAATATGGCAGGCCATAAGGCAGTGGTTCTCAACCTGTGGGCTATGACCCTCTTTAGCAAACTCCTATCTCCCAAATATATTTACATTACAATTCTTAACAGTAGCAAAGCTCCAGTTATGAACTAGCAAGGAAAATAATTTATGGTGGGGGGGGGTCGCCACAACACGAGGAAGTATATTAAAGAGTCACAGCACAGCATTAGAGAGGCTGAGAACCAACCACTACACTATAGGGCAATACTCAGTTCTTTGCAAATAGCTCTTCCTAATTCGGAACCGTTTCTGAGTGAAGATTCTGAGTGATGTGAAGACATATAAAAAGGGCTCTCTGGCTTCACAGTGGGATTTACTAAAGTCCAAGGAAAGAAGAGCGAGGCTTGAATTCCTTAGCAGTCAGCTAAGAGAACAAAAGGACTGAGGCCCAACAGGCATGGAGTGAACTGAACAAGAGTCCTGAACTAGGCCCCTCAGAGAAGCAAAGGATTCAGATAATTGGGTGAGAGGCGCCCTTTCCTGTGGCATTGGACAATCCAGGAAATATTTCTTTTTGACTGGAAACACAGGGCAGGGCAGAGCCTAGTGTAAAACTTAGTCACCGTCCATCAACCAACCTCTTTCTTATCTTGCAGTCTGAGGGCTGAGTTTACTCTCTGGGAGGAGGGTGGAAACCACCAAGAGACTAGAGGGAAAGCAGGTCTCAGGGGTGACAGATGTCCCAGCAAACTAGCTGACCTGCCAGCGGTTAGACTATGAGCGAGTGGCATCCCTAGTCTGGCTGTTGCTTTTCTGATCTGTGACAAAAGTCTCACAGGGCCTGGAACACCTGTGAAGAGCAGACACATAAACCCTACAAACTGTAATTACAGGAAATATCTCAATAGTTTGAATTATCTTTTAATCTTTCACATCCGGCAAGCTCCAATTTCTAGTCCCTCCCCCCAGTTCTGGAAGTCTGCCTTAAACTGGAGAAACATGTACGTAATGTGTACTGAGGATGACGGGATACAATGTAACCAGCTGCCGCAGGCTCCTGGGGCTGTGCTTTCCCCACCATGATGGGCTGTATCTTCAAACTGTGAGCCACAAAACCCCTCCCTTGAAGTTGTTTTTAGTCAGTTTTGTCTCAGCAAAGAGAAAAGCAATTAGTACAGGGTGGGGGAGGGTTGTTTGCCCAAAGAGTCAAACAGGTGAGCAAGTCTTGCAACACACTAGCCCCGGCGCCATACTGATGCCATTTAAATCCAGCCGTCCCGCACAAAAGGCCCAAACTTTTAAACACCAAACTTTCTCACTCCATAAATAACAGCAATATCCATCATGTCCATCACTTCCAACCTCCTGTTGGATATAGTTTTGCATGCATTCTCTGCAGCACAAGCTCCGTGGAGTTGGGCTCTGTATTTACTCTTGCCCATGGTGAGCAAGATGTTTAATCTTAAGCTGTTCAATCAGCATTTCCAGACTTTAAAACTGCTCGCATTCCCCAGGCTGGCTGTGCTCTTTGGGAGTTTGGCAGAGGTGAAAGAAGCTTTGGTAAGTATGAGGCAGAATAGGAAACAGCAGCATTATAGGGTCTCCCAGTGTCCAGATGTGCATGAAGTTGCTGCTAGCAGTGACACTGGGGATCTGTGACTCTGGGAAGCAGAAAAAGAAAAAAGAAAAGACACAGCAAGAAAGAGTTGATGGGGACAGATTGATCTGCACTGGCTGCCGGAAACAGAGGATCTGTTCCTAACAAGAAGAAGGAACACAGCAAAAATATGTCATGACTTGGTCTTAGGTAACCGCCCTCAGAGAAGGCAACCAAGTACCAAGTCATAATGATATTCAGAATTTACGGGAGTCTCCATAGAAAGAAACTGCATTCTCATACCAATAGCCAACAAGATACTAAGGCCTTCTGAGTGTCAGGCAGCCATCTTGGGATGGGTCTTTCAGTCCCGTGATACCTTCAAAAGATCATAGCCTCTGCCAAGATCTTCAGAGCTTGTTGGGACGTTCTAGCAGGTGAACACAGCTACTCCTATACTCTCAACTGAAGACTCCACCTCCTCTATGCAGCCTTGGGAGGGATGCACAGGAAGTGGTGAGGGAGGAAGGAGACACTTGCCTACCCAGCTAGATCAGCCAAATCAACCCTGGTGATCAATGGGGTGACAAACGTCACAACTAAATCATCCTCATACCCGCTTTTCCAAGATGTTTCCTCTGAGGAATGTTTGAACCAGAACCATTTGTATTAAGGTATCTCCAAACTCCTCATTCACAGGAAAATGAGATTTGATGTTTTAAGCTGCTAAGCTTTGGGGTGACTCATATAACAACAGGTAAGTAATGAATCTGGCAAGAAACAGCCACCAATAAGATACCAAGATGAGGAGGCGGTGGGGCACAAAAGCTCATCAATTGTCCTGTACCTACCACCTTCTCCACAGCAGGCCAGTAGCCTTCTCTATACCTAGACTTATAGAAAAGTCCACTCCCTAATCAACTTCCCTTGCTTTCTACTAGACGTTTTTTTTATAGGAACCCTCACCAAACTATCTTAAGGATGTTGACTTAGATTCTGAATATTTCCCTAGCTTCTTTCTCCTTGGATATCCCTATACAACCTGACCCACAGCAGGAATTGTCACAGGGAGCTGAAAGAGTCAAGACACAAACAACAGGTGGCAAGCTCTAAATAGCTGCACCTTGGTGGAGGGAGCCAGCCATGGATAATAGCCAGAAAGATATGACAAGCTTAACCATGTATGTGCTAAAAGATCTGATGGCAATTTATATACATTTTCTCACCAGCCTCTAGATGTTGTCTATGACAGAGTGACCTATACGACCTCATTTAGCTGAAGAAGAAATGACAACCTAAGGCAGGGTTGGCATTAGAGCCACAAGTAGAACTAATGCCAAAGTTTCCAACCCTGAGCTCTGAATTCTCTGTAGTGGGTTCTTGAGATCCCAGAAAGAAAAATAAATCGTTCTTGCAAAGTAAGGGTGAGTATCCTACTGCACTTCTGAGGTCTGCCCAGTCTCACTAGGAATGGACAGCTCTGGGTAAGTGGCCATCATCTCCCTACCTGTTGACTTGAGAAACATTCCTATAGACAGAATTAACCAGTATCAACTGGAGTCAACCTTCCTGGGCTGCTGACACACAGAACTCATCTGCTCACTTGACGACAAACAGTATCATTAGGATAAACACTGAGGGGATAGTCACAGCTGATGTTATCCTGACATCCCCAAACTCTTGCCATCAACACAGAGTTGGGCTGAGGAAATGCTGATGTGTCTCTTGTAGGAACTAATCAAAGATAAGCATTCTGTGGGCTTTCAGTTTCCTCCCAGGTTTGTGGGGCTTTTTGAATTCTTATCATGCAGCTTGTTGCCTACTATTCTCTCCTGTCTTCCTCTTCCTACATGGTCACACATCCAAAAAATACTCCAGGATAACATAGCTGCAGCTAAACCAAGCTAGATAGGCACAGTTCCCTCATCCAGACTACCACACTCCTACTAATACCTCCAGCGACTTTTCTGTCTTCTCTTCTGAGTTCCCATGGAATCTGTGCTTGAGAGATTCAGAAGAAATTCATCATGAGCATATGGTCATACTACTTGCATGAACTGAGAATACACACAAAGATTCAGCACTAGGCCAACACAGTTTTGCCAGGAAGAAGAGACCTGTACAGGAGCAGGTCTTCTGGAACCTGTGGCAAGTGCTGTTTCCCTTTGTCCTGGGCTCCACTACCATCAGGCATGGAGGAGCAGCACTTGGACCTACCTCTGGGGGGACAGCAAAAGATTCCACCTCCACTTCTGTGGAGTTGGTTTTGTCAGTAGCCTGCTGGGCTTTGCCATCGTCAGCTTTGTCAGTCTTGTCCTTACTGGAGCCTTTAGAAGACTTGGAGTCTTTGTCTTTGGAAGACAGCTTCAGCTCCTTCAGAGCCTTGGAGAACTTAGACTCCTGGGCCCCACCAGAGAGGATCTCCACAGCAATTTCCACCAAGATCCGACCCCTGAAGGACACACCTTCCCCAAAGCCTTCATTCAACTCCTGGTAGTCATCCATGAGACTGTGGTTCCTGGGGGAGCCATACAGGTTAATCCAAGCAGGTCCGAAAGTGGGAAGAAAACCTAGGGAAAACCTGAGTGTTAGCAACTGGCTGTACATTCACATCTACTATGTGCTTGTTTTTATAAAAAGTTACATGTAAAAATATATGATATACAGACAAAAGGAAATATTTAAAAGACATCCTCCCCAAAGATGCTTTTTTTGCTCTCCGTCTAGTCTCTCTTTTGCACATTTACACTCTTTCACATCTGTAATATTGTAGGGGCCTCCCCGCATGTATGTAGCAGATGTGCAGCTTGGTCCTCATGTGAGTCCTAAAGAACAGGAATGGAAGCTATCCTAAAAGCTGCTGCCTCTGTGGGGGATATGTTCTTCTAGCTGAGCTGCCTTGTCTGGCCTCAGTGAGAGAGGAAACGCCTAGCCTCACAGAGACTTGAAATGCCAGAGTTGGGGGATACCCTGGGGGACCCCACCTGCTCAGAGGAAACAGGGATGGGAGATGGGGAATGGGGTACGGATTGTGGGAGGAAGAGACTGGAAGGGGAGGCAGTGAATTGTATGTAAAGTAAATACATAAAAAATTAAATTTAAAAATATTATAGAGGCCACTTTGCACCATTCTGTCACCATTTAGCCATCCAATGTTTATTTATTATTAACGTGAGCCAGGGAGCATGCTTGTTGCCAACCATGGGATTCAACGGAGGACAAGCTGATACAAAGATTGAACAAAGAAATGTTTACATTAATATCTACAATATCAACATTATGAAAGGGCTACAACTTCTATTACAAGAACAAATGATAGACTGATGGCGCATAGAAGAATGGGAGTGGGCTGCAAACCAGTGATTGATGGAGCATGGAGGAGGGGCGGGGCTGTAAACCAGTGATTGATGGAGCATGGAGGAGGGGCGGGGCTGTAAACCAGTGATTGATGGAGCATGGAGGAAGGGGCGGGGCTGTAAACCAGTGATGGGGCATGGAGGAACAGGGGTGGGGCTGTAAACCAGCTGGAAAGAGTATACAGCCAGTGATACATGAGAAGAGTTTGGACAGGTGAGAGGCCTTAGACCTTGTACTGAGTTTTGCTCACTATCTTAGTCTCATTAAGAATATTTAAAAGGAATTTTATCAAATCTATAATGTAACAATGTCTCTTAAGAGCAGTGGTTCTCACCCTGTGGGTCACAGCTCCTTTGGGGGTCACATATCAGATATCCAGCTTGTCAGATACTTATATTACAATTCACAGTAGTAGCAAAATTACAGTGATGAAGTAGTAATGATAACAATATTATGGTTAGGGGTGTCACCACAACATGAGGAGCTGTATGAAAGGGTTGTAGCATTACGAAGGTTGAGAACCAGTTAAGACCATTGTGGCTACCATGTGAAGGGTTGCAAGAATGGACGCAGGAAAACTGCCTTGGGAACGATTTCATCATGAAAGCTAAGGACACTGTAGTTTGGACTAGGGTAAGATGGTAGAGACGGTGAGAAATGAATATTCAAAAATATTTCCTAAACATAGACCTGAAAAGACTTGGTGGTTTTAACTTACTCCTGCCATAAGGGTTTCTCTCAATATAGAACATCTGAAAAAATGTATGACATCCATGAGAAGATCTGTCAACACAACGCTCCTTTATTTTTCAGTACTGGAAATCAAACCCAAGGCCTCTCACACTGCAGGCGAGAGCTATGACCACTGACCCACACCTTCTCCTGCCCACGCTCCTTTCTGAAAGGGAAGTCAGCACGGTGTTTCGGAAGACATACTGCGTGGGTTCAAATTCCAGCCTTGGGACTTTTCTGCTGCATGAGACTGGTCAAGATTCTTAACTTCCTGTGCCTCTGTTTCCTCGTGTGGAAGACAAGCTAACAGTGCCCAACTCACCTGACGATATTAACAGGATAATCTCTACTATGTATGTCACATGGACCCTTAGGGCACACCCCCACTGGTGCAAAGAAGTAGGGAGTCGTAATTTGCTAGTCAAGTCCTCCATAGTTGCCAAGAAATCATTTTTCTTTCTGTCTGAATGTCTCCTTCCTACCACCCTGACTCCTGCAGACTAGATTCTATCCCTCAAATTCAGTTCTCCTTTGGGACAACTTAAAGAAGCAGAAAAACTTTTGTTAAAAGGATAGAAAAGATGTTATGGTCCCCGATGTCTACTTCTAAAACACAAGCATCAGTCTTTCTGAGCACCGTCAGGAGGTTTCTAAGATGCTGTGAATAAAACAACTTAACATCTAGTTGAAAAAGTGTTGATGGATGAGTGTGGTTTTTTTTTTTTAATGTAAAGTGGTAAGTGTTGCTGTAATATGAGAACCAGAGAACATACTGAGGGCTTCCTGTAATGTCAATCTGTGATGGATATAAAAATATACAAGTCTCCACTCTTGGAAAATATTCATCTAGTTAAGAAAAAAAGAAAATAGTTATACTGATGTCATCTTTATGTGACATATGATATATTTGACATACACGTGTATAAATAGATGCTTGTATTTGACTATGTAATTATATATGTATGTGATACTTAGGTATGTATATTTATCAATCAACGTACATATGCAGTGCAGAGAAAGGTGGTCGTGAATTCAAATGGGGGTTAATTTGGAACTTCTTGAATACTAATGGGATTTTAGAAATTGAGTCATATACTGAGTAGGAGTTCTTTCCCTCCCTGCCACCTTCAAGGCTTTGCGGATTACCTGAGGCTCTCCCTGCTCCCTGAGTGCAGTCACCCACACCCCCCGCCACCCTCAAGCTCACATGTTCCCATCAAGTGGCCGGGAACATAATTTTCATTCAGGGTAAAACAGGTTTCCATTGAACACATGCAAAGACTGTTCATACAGTACCATACAAAAATATGTATCAGGACAGACTGGCCTACAGATTTTAGTTTACTGACCTTTGGTTTTATCTGACTTCCGTTTTCTTAGTAGAAGAGAGACACACCACAGGTAGATAGCAATAGTCATGGGAGACCTAGGACCAGAGCTTGGTTCCATCACCAGCTTTACCAAGCTAGGCCACAGACCACAGAATCATGAAAGGTGTTGGTACGTGCCTGCATGATCCTCTCTCTTTAAAAGTTGAGGTTTGAGACCTACTTCTGAGTCAGACACACAAAGCTCTCTACCTTTATCCCCGTCCTGCTCATTGGAGATTCTCTTCAGGTCAATGAAGTGGGTTGCCAGAGCGACGTCGTTCATGCTGCCTTCATCCCACACCTGAATTTTCACCCTCCGGCACAAGGGAGGGAACATTTCCTTGAAGACTATCTGCTCGTGCCACACAGGATCAGCACAATTCTTTTGCACAGAGGTTCGTCCCTGAAAGCACAGGAGCCAGAAGAATGTGAACCATGGAGATAAATGGCTAAAGAAAACACTTCAAAGCACCTAGAGGTGTAACAGGAATTAATCAAAGATCATGGGCTTGCCTCCCTGATGCCTGAGAAATCAACTACATTCTGTTAACATTACTGCTGGCCTAGATGTTATACAGGGCACTGGGGAAAGGTGAATCATTGTCCTTGGAAGTTTCTACTCAACAGGTAAGTGTTGGGGTATATCTCTCTGTTATAAATAGAGATACTGTTTCACGTGTCTCCAGGAAAGCAGCAGACATAGCTAGACCCTGAGGTCATGTCTACATAAAGACCAGGGTGAAGGTCATGTATGACCTTGAGTGAATCAAACCTGCAGCCTGGGCCTCAATTTTCTTGTCGTAAAACAGAATGATGTCCTATGTGCCCTTCAAATTCAACTCAAGTTAGATACACTCCAGCATTTACTCCTGCTGATAGGAAGGGACAGGGACATGCTTTGAAAGCACATGTACAAAGTTTCAAAGGCCAGCAAGACATACTGCAGCTTTGACCATAAACCTAGGCCTTGAATCTTCCAATGGCCCTTGAGAAAGGAACAGAGCTGTCTACGTTTATGTAGGAGAATGATTGTCTGGGAAATTGAGAAATGGGTTGGGAGAGAGTGATAACTCTACAGGCCCCGGTACTTGCTTACAGAAGTAGCCATCTGTGGGGAAAGATGCTTTCCTACCTGGCCCTAAGTTGCAACACAACCAATCATAGCTCTTTCCCACAATCCCTAGTGAGGCATGAGTGAGCAGCTGACCTCTGCACCTCTGATACCTAACGCCTCCTCTTCTTGTAACAAGGTTTTCTCTGAGGCATTTTTTCTTTTTTTTTATTGGATATTTTATTTACATTTCAGATGTTATCCCCTTACCCCATTTCCCCCAACCCAGGAATCCCCTATCCCATCCCCCCTCCTGCTTCTATGAGGATGTGTCCCTAAGTACCTTCCCACTCCCACCTCCCCACCCTCGAATTCCCCATACTTGGCATCTCTGAGGCACTTTTAACTTAACTTCATTTGGTTAGAACTGTTCTGGATTCAGAGCAAGATGTAACTGCCACTATAGGTGACAAAGTTTCCTCACCGTCTGCCCAGCAAAGGACACCTCCACAAAGGGATCCACGAGGTCCTTACTGTCACCCACAAATGCTTTGGTGACATTTGCCATAATGCTGGAGTTCATCTTGGGTAATCCTTCTGCTCGGTAGAGTCTCACATAGAACCTGGCCCAAGGTCTCTCTGATGGAAATCCCTGAGGGATCAAAAGGTTCCTAAAGGGAGACAAGAAGTTTCTTTTTTAAATGAAAAGGTCTGCCAGTCAAGGGGAGGGAGAAAGGGCAGGTACAGGCTGAAGGCAGAAAGAAAGATAAATCTGGATATAGAAAAACACTGGGATCCATCACTAAACCAAGTTTTCTTTTTAGAATTTAAATCCTTTTTTTTTGTGTCATAAACCAGTGGTTGAAAGTATGATTATTTCAAAGAAAAAAAAAACCCAGCTGCATGTGGATAATCTCAAGAATGGCTTATCTGCGTAGTGCATATATGTAACGGTCAGAGAACATAGAAGGCGTAGAAAGTGTAAGAGCGGAGGACTGGACACGTGCTACAAAGTAGTCTGTTCTTTAAACAGCAAAAAGGACAGGAAGTAGGGGTACATAAGGAAGAGGGGGTTGATCTGGGAACGGCAGAATGGAGGAGTGTGGGTGAATATGAACAAGGTACATTATATAAAATTCTCAAAGAAATTAATAATAATAATAATAATAATAATAATAGAATGGCTTATCTAAAATTGTTACAGGGAAACAGTGTTCTTGTCTGAAAATCCAAGCTCCCAAAAGAGCCATGGCTTTGAGAAGATGCATTCAGGCATCTGACAGAGCTGAGTCTCTGATGGACAGCCCATGAGCGTGGCAGCAGTCACACGCCCATACAGAAAAGAGTGGAGAGGAGACAGAGACATAACGGAGGACATAGAATTTATCGTTTATGGCTCTGGTTGGCTCTATCTCACTTCTCTATTTGCTCTTCAGCATCAGAAGTTTTGGGATTGGTCTTTAAGATGTCGCCTTTCCCAGTCACGCTGATGTCACACTTCAGGTAGCCCTTGGTGCCAGTCCTGATGTCCCCAGGGTCTGTAAGCAGTGCCCACTTGTCACAGAACTGATGACCTATGAACACATCTTGTAAGTAGTATCCTTTGCACGTGGGACAGAGGCTCCCTCATCCCCTCCCACACCCCCAGGGTCCTGGTCTCTCTCTGATGCTTACAATAGTAGCCATTTGTAGATATCCCCAGTCCTCTGGTTATCCCAGTCTCTTCCTTCCCCTCATCCTCTCTCCCACCCTCTGACTTTTTCTCCAACTGACCACAGGCATTTGGGAGACTTTCAGTCTAGTGAACCACATAGGAAAACGCCAGCTTTGCAGAGCAGAGAGTCAACCAAAGAAGAGTAAGAGGCAAGATAGATAGGTGGAGCTTGCTTACCAGGTTGGTTGTACACGGTCCCCACATCCACTCTAAAAGAGCCAATCAGGATGCTTCCTATCAGCTTGTGGTGTAAGACCTAGAAAAAATAGAACACCAACCTGAATCATTTGTCTTTGCAGAAACATCTGTGAAATGGATTCAAGATTGACCAAAGAGATCTCTAGGACTTGAACCTTGTCTGGGCTTGACCTTGTCTGGAGCAGAGTCACACACACACACACACACACACACACACACACTCATATAAACACACACATTCTCACATACACACAAACATGTCCTCACATGCTTACCCACATGCTCATCAACCCACAGGGTCCTAAGTGGCCTCCAGAAGTGTCTCACCTGTGCCTCCTTCTCCAGAAACCTTTCAGCTCCTCTGCTGAAGGATGCCTGACACTCTTGCTACCCAAGAGATTTCTTTAATCAAATGGACCCTGGAAAGCTATCCCTCAATACCTGTTTTTGCCTCCTCAAACTTGACCTATCCTTCACTAGCTGGAGCAAGAGTCACCCCCTCCAAGCATCTGTCCTTGATCTCCCAAGCTGCCACTGTTGTTTCTCTCCTCAGCATCCAAAACATCTTTTGCAACTTTCTTTAGAACTCATCACGTGCTGTGGTAGCACTGCACAATAGAGTGAGTTGCATACAGCATAGCATTTGTCCTGATTAGAAGTGAGAAGAGCGCCTATCTTGGTTACAATAGCATGCTGAAAGGCTGGCATCACCACAAGGAAGTTCTGAAGGAAGGTGGCATACTTGGTGCCGTGTCTAAAAGTCACAGGCTGATGGAAAACCTGGAATAGTTTAATCTTTAATCCAGAAGAGGGGATCTGTCAGAAAGAAGACAGTATGACTGAAGTGCCCTCAAATCTTGAGAATGTTGTATCCAGAAAGGGAGTCAAGGCTCCCTGCATGGTTCTGAAGTAACAGGTTGAGATTTCAGCTCAATTAAGAATGCTATTTCTTAGACTAATCAGAATCTCTCAGCAATGAAGGGGTCATTCTCCAGAAATAGTGGCATCTCTGTTACTGGAGTCCAAGGGCCCTGAGAACTCCATGGCATCATGGAGGTGCTTCTGAGATTCCTCCTAACTATAAATCCTATGATTCCCTTGATCAAGGCCAGTGTCTCTTTGTATTTCATCTACCATGGACCTCATTCATAACAGATATTCAATGAACATTCGATGAGTTAATGGATGACTTAAAGAAGGATGAGTGACAGAGTCTAGCGGCTTCTGAATAGTTCATGTTGCCAGGGGCAGTGGGGAGAAGTGGATCAGCTGACCTCAAGAAATGGCAGCCATTCCTATTTCTCTTCCTATCCTCTCTGTCTCTCTGTCTCACTCCCTTGCTCTCTTACTCTCTCACACTCTTTCTGTCTCGCTCTCTCACTGTCTTGCTCTCGTTCTCTCGCTTTCTCACTCTCTCATTCTCTAGCTGTAATTTTCCAGTATCAGAGAACAGAGGAGAAACAAGGACAGCTTGGCTTCAGTGAAGGAGCTATTTAAGACCACACACAAAAAACTGCCTCTGTTACTGGCCTTGTTTTCTGTGGCTAACATGACTCCCCAAGGCCTGTCTCAAGTTCCTTTCACAAGATACAGGTCCCTGTGGAAGATGGAATGAAAGACTCTCAAACGATTCTTCCAACCACACAGGAAATCTCTTTAAGGTATCTGCCTATGGGCTGAATGCCAGCCAAGCCTACTATGACATTACTAGGCTCCTGGGGATGTGTCACACACAGCGTCCTGGGGTTCTATGTTGCTTGGACTACTGTTAAAGGAAAATAGTCGCACCGGGCCATATTATACTGTGGCTGTCCCAAGAGCATCTAATTACAGTCACCTCACACCATGCCTTTTAAATAATACTCTTAATTTATTATTTGAGAATTTTGTACAAATACACTATATATTTTGGTCACACTCACCCTCGATCTTGCTACTCACCCCTCCCCAACTCTTCCTGGAACCCTCAAACATGTATGCCTTCTAAATTCATGTCCCTGCCCCCCTTTTAAGATTCTCATTGAGTCCAATTAATGCTGCCTATATGTGCTTGGGTTTGGGGCTATCCACTTGAATATAGGCAACCTAGCAGTGGCCATACTCCCTAAGATAATGCCACTGCCCCCTCCAAAAACCTACCAATAGTTCCTCAGTTAGGGGTGAAGCCTCACGAGTCCTTCTCCCATTCACACTGGAATTTTGACTGGTTTGCTCTTGCATACGTAACATTCTCATGACTCTGAGTAGCCAAACATTTTCTGATTGACTTTGAGGACTGTTCCCCCATGAGAGAATTTATGCCTAGTAATATAAACCCAGTCAAAAAACCCATGGGCAGGGAAGTGACAGGACCTAGAAGGGAACCTACTATTGTTATTTTGCCAAATGGCCGTGCTGTCAAATGGTCTCTAAATACCTACATTTATACATACACATCTGTGCTGCTCTCTGCCTTGGTAGATTTTGCGGTGGGTAGTGGTTAATACAAGGACTCATAACTGTCTAAGTACTGAGAATACATGCCTATGACTGGAGTATTTAGCTATTTAACACTGAATTCATTCATTCACACTGACTTTCAGTTTATGAACTAGCAGGGAAGCTGTATTAAACAAAAGAGGGAGGAGTTTCCTTTAAAATCTTGGGTCTCTCTCTCCCTAGGAGTCATTTATGAACAGCAAAATGGTGTCTTCTCCCAAAGAAGGAATGTAACATGCAAACGAGCTTTGACCTTATGTCTAAAATTCCAGGTGTCCTGCATATAGTCATGACTCTTGTCCTTGATGCAACTTAACCTGGTGATGAACTTAGCTGCTCTAGAGCCAGTCTCATCAGGTGGCTGCTGGAGTGACCGCACAAAGTTCCAAGAGCCATCACAGCTCTCAAAATATCTTCTGCATCCCTGTCATCATGCCTGCAACTCAGATGCTAAGAATGTTTGGCTCTTGGTGACTTTTCATTCCTCAAGAGTCACACTCTTCTAATACTCCCGGGAAGGACCATATCATGATACTACTGGGACCCAGGCCTTGAGGCAGGAGTGTATTGACATTCAGCTGAAGTTAGAGGTTATATTACATACATATGTGGGAGGATGATAAAACAGGACAGAAAAGAGAGTCAGCATTGCTGTGACTGTTGAGCGAACCCTTCCCTCATTCTCTGTACACTTTTACCAATATAAAATAGTAGTTTTGTTCTTTGAGAAATCTTTAGAACAAGGCACTTAATCACTCTCAAACCCCTACCCTACACCCTCCGGCACACCCAGCCTCGCACCCGTCTTCATGGAAGAAATGGCTGTTTTCTGAGATTAAAGTAATAGATGTCACCATCTGCCACCCACCATTCTCTGACCCTCTGCTAAATAGTGTACAGTTGGCAGTAGGCCCAGCTGGTCACTTCCGCTCTCACTTGGGACAATATGACTTCAGCATCTCTACTTTCCCTTTCCATTCCTGCCGCTCATGAACTAGGTGCATGACCATGTCCCAGCAAGCCCAGGGAGCTCTCACTATTTCTACTCTTCAGTCTGGATCTGTGGATAAACTTCCCCTCCCTGGATGGGCTAAGAAAGATCTGTCTAACAGATCTAACTCCCACTGGAAAGGTCCCAAAGTCTACCCTCAGAGGCATCTTTCAAGAATCCAGAAATGCTCCAAACCATTTTCTCTGCCCACTGGGTGTTATTAGAGATGAGACTGACATATGTGAACTGTTCCCAGTTTCTAGTCCTGTTTCTCTATTTGTCACTGACTAGAAGAAAAGATGGTTGTGATTAATTAGGGTGGATATCACCCCAAGAGAAAAACACAACATTAACTTGATTTAAAAAAAAATAACTGAAAAATGGCAGCCAATTAAGATGTCATCTACAGCATATGTTCCATTAGTCCCACATCCACTTAGCAAAAGTTGACTGTCGTTTACCTCTTGCTTCCAAGAACCACAGATTCCCTTGAGATGGCTCTGCCTCCTAAACTCCTCCATAGTGAGGATTTTTAGCTTTAGCTTGATGCTTCCACGGTCACCAACCTATACATATCCCCTTGACCCAGGCACCCCTAACCATGCTGAGCTGTCCGCCCCCAAGTGTCTAGAGTCTCTCTGCTTTCCCCCAGTACCACCACCGGTTGAGCTATACTTACTGAGATTTTGATGATCTTGTCAAAAAGATGCACTTGGGGTCCGATGAAATCAAAGACGAAGTACTGTAAAACATGAAGTTCATCTTGGTCATCAACCCCCAGTTTACATCTAAGAACCTTGCTGTTGGAATAGTTAGACCCCTTAAGGTTTTTTTTTCAGTTGTTTTCTATTATTTTATATATTATATTTAATGCCAACAACCACATCCTTGCACAGGATAAGTATACATATTCCTCTAAAATAGACATAAATAGTATTTCCGGATCATGGATTATGTGCATGTAAAATTTTAATAGTATTATGTTTTCTCTTCTGAAGGACTAATAAGCTGTATTAGTTATTTTTCTGTTGTTATGATAAAATGACAGGACCAAGACAACTTATAGAAAATCAAGTTTATTTGGGCTTATAGATTGAGGGGGACAAGAATCTGTCACTGTGGGGAGACTTGGCTCTGGAGCAGAAAGTTGAAGGCTCCTATGTCAACAACAAACCCAAAGCAGAAGGAACAAGCCGGACGTGCACTGGGCTTTGTATCTCAAAGCCTGCCTCCTGTGACATACTTCCTTTATGCAAGGCTGCACTTCCTAAACCTCTCCCAGACAATGACATTGAGTGACAACCAATGGTTCACTTAGCCAAGCCTATGGGGAACATTTTCATGCAAACTACTACAGAAGGCATTTTACATTCTGGCTTTTGCTGTATCTTTTCCAACCCTTGATGTTGTTAGTTCTTTCTTTTTTAAAAAAAATTTTCTCTTGTGATAGGTGAAAAAAGTATATTGGAATAGTTTTTGAGTGAACTTATTTAAAATATTTCTCAGGATTTTTTTCTGTTTCAAACATTCTGGAAAAATTACCAAGACTAGTCATGGAAGGAATGAAAAAAGAAAGATGAATGATAGAAATTGTTAATATTGGAAAAGATATTAAATTTCAGAGTTAAAAGAACTACCTTGGGGCTGGCAATATGTCTCTGTGGGTAAAGGGACTCCTTCAGAATCCACATGGTGGAAGGAGAGAACTGATCCCTGCAAGCTGTCCTCTAACCTCCGTACGTGTACCATGGTACCTGTGTACAAGTGTCCACATGCTCGCAGACAGATAGCTAAACTGTAAGAATTGTGTAGATGGATCCCCAAAGTTGCAAAATAGGAAGACTAATGGCTAAAGAGCTTAAAAGGTGATGACCAGCTTCACAATTCTAGTTATTTCTGGCTCTAGAGCCGTGCTTTGGGTCTCCTGAAGAAGGGACTAGGTATATAGTCCACAGAGGTTGAGTCGGGTGCCTCTCAAGCGAGGCTGTAGAAGTTGAAGGTACATAGGATGGGGCTGTGTGGAGGAAGAACACTGGGGCGGGCTAGGAAGTCCGGGGACACTGTTGTACCCTGGGCACTTCCCATTGCTTTGAGGAGTAGATATGGAAGAATTATAAATGGTGGATGGACATATCAGTGGGAAGAATAAAAAACTGACATTTCTTCCCTAGAGGGAAATAGAAAAACAAAAATAAACTGCCATGTGCTGTACTAGGAGATCTTCAAAATGGTGGCGGTCCTCCAGGTTGAGGTGTGGCCCCCATAGTAGTCCTAACATATGGGTTGATCCCCAGCACTAGAGTAAATGAATACATTTAAAGGTGATAATGATTTCAGTTTAGTCAGAAAATAGGTATGACCTTTAAAGATTTTTTTCATATGTAACACACACATCTTTTTTTACAATTTTACTGTTTTTTTTTTACATGTTTAGAACTAAAAATTTACATGCAAGTTTCCCTTTGCTGAAATTCTTCACTGGAATATGAATGACTGTATGTGGGGTCTGTTGAACTGATGGTGTTCCTATGTTTGCTGCCTTCAGCTGACTTTCAATGTTGCACTCTCCAATGTCTCATAGACTCTGGGCCTGCACCCATTTTTCTAGCCAGCAAATATTCACCAACCCCTACTTCCTCCTCCAACACTGATGGCCTCTGCCTTGAATGTGAAACGCTGGAACCTGGGCTTGCCCCCTGTTCTTTTTCTTGGTTTCCTACTTGCTATGGTTGGGGTCAGCTTGACATCATTTACAAGCAAGATCGCAGGCATAGTTGTAACGTTTAACAAGTAAGTGGGGCCTAGCGGCGTTTCAGACACGCTCTTTAATATCACATCTGTGCCAAAAGGATGGAGGGAGAAGTGGAACACAGAGGGACAGTAACATCTGGAAAGCTCAGAAGCAACTCTAACATAGAGGAAAGAATTAACGGCTCAAACGTGATTTGGGGATTTTCTGTTAAAGTCATTATCCATGCTGTCCCCATCTTCCTTGTAGATTACTGTTATTATAGTAATGAAGACTCTGAAGCATTTTATTTTTTTTAGCAATTCATACTGTTAGGCAGTTGGTGGTATCCAAGTTTAAATGCCTACGCCCTGTTCCTCATAAGTTAGGCCACATAAGTACATGGTGAGTTGAAACCAAAGACTGGAAGCTTTAATATCTATGGATGAGAGGCTAAGCAGTTAGGATATTATGCCATATGGAAGCAATGGAAAATTCTCCAGCCACAAAGCAGAAGTGAGCGTGGCCAGTGTGAGCAGCTCAGCCCTATGCTAGAGGCCATTGTTTTGTAAAAGGAACGAGGCCCAGGACAGCTGAATGGCGCTAGTGGGCATTATTTGTATTTCTGTGTGTGCTTGGTCTCTCTCTGAAGATTCTCCAATATCATGAGAATGGATCCATCCGGGGGCAAAATCTAAGGTATCAGGATCTGAACATTAAAGGGAAGTGAGATTCTTCTACTTACATTATTGTACATTCTGCCATATATATATATATATGGCAATATATATATATATATATATATATATACACATACACACATATGTATATTACCAAATACCATTTTATTTACAAAGAGAGACTATTTAGAAACCTTCCTCTTTGGAGTCTTCTTTTAAAATTTCTATGCATCTTAGAAAAACACAACTGTTTTGCTTTCCAACAAAGTATGCTTATTTCAAATTCAGTGAGTAAAATTTCTGTGTTGCTCCTGTGGAAAAGAATGTCTACTGTCTCTCTAAATAACATCCAAGGTTCACTGAATGCAACCCCAGTGCTTATTAAGAATGGCAATGAGCTTTTGAGAGATAAGGAAGTGGGCCTCTTTTCCTCTCCTGTCTACTGTCTTGCTATCAATGCCTGGGGACTGTGTGGAAAGAGTTCAACCTGGGCTGTGAACTTAGATGGGAACAGGAAGAAGCACCGAGTGGCTCCACTCTCCTCGCCAGTGAAGAGGATGCGGGCCCAGAGGATGCTCTGTGACTTACTTCATTATAAAACGGGCTGTTGGTCCCTTCCTTCACTGTGCTCTGCTTCTTCTCATCCCCAATCTCAATGGTCACAACTGGGTCGATGTTCTCGCCCACCAGCTGCCGGGCCTCGGTGATGGTGATGGTGATCTACAACACAAAACAGTCCTCACACTGCTCGCTCGCTCTCTTCACTGCTCTTCAGTCTCCTGACTGGGGGATGCTGGGTAGGAGGAGCCCATCACTTACTTGATAGTTTTGAGATTTGATCTCCCCGTCATGGATCTTAGTCAGCAGTTTTGCTCTATTAAAATCAAATATATATATATATATATATATATATATATATATATATATATATGTATGTATATATATATATATTGTGTGCAAGTACAAAATAATAAATAAATAATATAACAGCAAATTAATATATCTCAAGTAAGAACAAACTTCAGACATGTAAACCATGGTAAGATTTTCCCAGGAGTCTCTAAGTACCTTCATTTACACACTATCACAGATTCTCTCTACATCTCTTGGGAAATAAATATAAGTAGACAAGTGACTTAAGATTTCTATGACTCAGTTTCCCTACCCTAACGACAAGGCTAATAATACCATTTATGCTACAAGGCAATTGCTAGAATTGCAAGACTGAGCACTAGTAGCTTTTATATGCAAGGTTTTCCATGCTTTTTCTATCTTGACCTTATAGAAATGATGATTCCTGAGAAAGACAGAGGCAAAGATGGGTTGAAGGAAAGATCTGCCCTTGGCTGGGCTGGTTTTAGACCCAGGAACACTCCATCATTTCTAAAAGATGTAATTTTGAGTGTTGGGATTGCTTCTGAAAGGATTGGTAAAGAAGAAAATTGGAAGGCATGACCAAAAGGTCATCTCATCGAGTTTCACAGTCACAGGGAATTCATTTATCTGGACTGTCTCAGGTAATTGAAAATAGATGGGAAACACCTGGGAACTTAGAGATTGGCTAATCATGGGCTGAGAAGAAGAATCCTTGTTACCACAGAAGCAGCAATGAGTGGGAAACAAACTGAGATGAGTTTGATTGAATGTGGTTCTTTTGGCTTTTAACAGTGACATTGTGTACCTGTCTCCCTCCCATGTCTACGAACTGCCAATCAGCCCAGTAGAAACTACCGTAAGCTGCAAAAAGAAAACCTCAAAGCTTTTGAATCAGACTGATCTGAAGGAGAAGATTTATTCTTCTCAATTTTACACTTTAGCTACTACCAAGCTTTAGCTAAAATCACTAAGCTGTCCAATGACTACAGACATGTGAGTGACGATTGGACAGCTCTCTGAGACTACTAAAACCATCAAACTGACACACAGATTCGAGGATAATAACGGTTTATATCAAGACACTGGTTTGGGTGGCTTAGTTTTGTTCTGTTTTCACAGTCACAGCCATCTCACACTGCATGTGGAAGCCAGCCTCTTCTGAACCTTCTCTGGTAGTTTAGGAAACACCTTCTCTTTTGGGAGAAACAGGAAATTAAGGTGATGAGGACCATGATGAATTAAAGAGCAGGCTAAGGGACAGCTCCCAAGCCTGCCTTCTGGGCTTCTGTTCACTCCTGAGCTCCCAGCAGCACATCTAGGCTTGAAGCACACAGTGGAACCAGGATTCTGTTGAAGGCTGGCCAGCATCTGGAGGCTGCCACTCAGAAGTTGAATAGACACAGAATTTTCTTCTCTTCTTAGCCCTTTGGCTCCTGGTGGACAGAAACTAGGTCTTCTCTCCAGTTTTCTGAATGGCTGCCATACCCAGGGTGTAAAGTGAGTGTGCTACCTACACAAACACCATACCTTCTCTTTGAAGGAGCCGAGGGACCAGGTGTGATGGAACCATCATCCTTAGTCAAATCTTCTAGTCCTTCCTGGTAAGAAGGCCCTTCCTGTGGTACTTCAGACTCACTACCATCTAGAGAAACAAATGAAGAAAGAGAATTTTATTAAATTAATATAAGATGGTAAACAAGCCTCCACTTCATGCCCACCACAATGGAAGGCACCATAGCCCCTGCCCCTGATGAATTTGACATGGTATTGACAGCAAAGCCAAGCAGGCAGATGCATAATTGAATGTGTGTGTGTCCATTCATGTGTAAGAAGGGATAGAAGGTTCAAACAAACAGATGCACAAATTAACAAAACCTATCCAAGACCTTGACAAAAACAGTCTCCCAAAATAAATGAAACAGTTGGGAAACTGGAGGCAAGATCCCAGTGAGTGGTCATTCTTGAATGTGTTGGTCAGCTTCTAATGGCAAAATCTCATGCTGTAAAAAGACAGGGTCTCATCCCTGGATCCCGAAAGTGGTGCCCCATAAAGGGAAAGCCGAGCAGGGCCAGTCGGGTCCACTGCAGACACAGGAGTGGCTAAGGGCTTTGAGACGAGGCGATGGTGCTGGGTTATCACTTGGAACCTCATTGCAATCACATGCATCCTCACAAGAAGGGGCAGAGGGAGAGTTTAAACAGGACCAAAGACAGCTGTGAGACTCTGGGGACACAGACTAGACTGACCCCTACCTATCACAAGGCAAGGGACAGCACAGCCTCATCCCACCTTGTTCTGGTTTAGATCTTAAATATCCCCAAGGCCACGTGTTGAAGGTCTGGTGGTCGAATCATGCCACACCTAGGAAGTGGGAAACCTGTAAGATGTGGGGCTTGGTGGAAGGGAGTTAAGAAACCAGGGACATGTCTATGCAGTAGATGTTGGGACCCTGGCCTGGCTGCCATTGCTCTACCATGAACTCTTGCAATGTTTGGTTTTTCTACTGCCCAAGAACAGCATCATCAAGCAGCCATGGACTGAAACCATGAGCCAAAATATATCTTTCTTCCTTATCCAATGGTCGCCTCAGAGACTGTGTCATAGTGATGGAATGCTGAATAATGCAGACATTGGAGAGGGGAAGAAAGGTTCTTCAGGTTTTTGACCCACGGGTCAGGCACCTGTGCATCACAACTGTGAAGGAATACACGTGTTAAGCTACCAAATTACCTACTGTAGGGAGGACAGGTCACTAGGAAGCCCTAAGGAAACAGATTTATAAGAACTTAGCAAGGCCAACTTCCCATCCTAATGGGAGGATGCTGATGTCATTCATGGGAACATTGCCTGATAGCTGAAGTTTGGCACACATGTGATGTCACTTACCTTGTCTTGGGTCAATGTTTTCCTTGTTTATAGTTAAGGCAGGGCTGACACTTAATATACCATAAAGTCATCAGGAAGATAAACACAACAGTGTCCCAGCTATGTGCCTGTCATAGCCTAAGGAGGCTTATGTGAGTCATAAAGAATTTCCTGATTTTTTCCCTTCTATAAAATATGATTAAGGAAAAGTTCTTCAAAATTTTTTAAAGCAACCAGGTTCTTTTTATAGATGTAAGTGTATATTGAAACTCTCTCCCCCCTCTCCTCTATGTGTGTGTGTGGTGTGTATGCTTGTGTGTGCATGCTTGCACATGTGTATGTATATGTGCATGTGTGTGCGTGAGTGTAAGAATGTATGTATGTGTATTTCTAAAAATCTCATCACCTAGAAATTTCTCCCCAAGAATCAAAGCAGAACTAGAGATTGGGAAGGGAAAAGTCTCAACATGACACACTATATGCCAAAAGCTCATTTGTTCCAAGCTTTCTTGGTGTCACTCTGAGCGATGGAGCTGAGGCTTTTCCCCCAGGGCATCCCAGTAGTTGTTCCCAGGGCTTCTGACACTCAACTAGAAATACATCAACTGAATTAGCTCTAATGTGCTTTCCAGCTTTGACATGTTTGGGCTCTGGCTTTAACCAGACAACTTTGCCAAACACACACACACACACACACACACACACACACACACACACACACACCTTGAATCAGAAGACAGATGGGCTCCCTCAGCCCACTCTCCAGGCACGGCCACGTTAGAGTCTCTGTAGCAAGCGAGAGGAAAGCTGGCTGAAGAGGGACCTCATTTACTGCAGTCTCAGACAAGAAACTCAGGCCAAAACCAGACAAAGGGGTCAGCAGAGGAAGCAGTAGTGCCTGGCTGAGTGCCTTGTAGCCTTGCAGCAACAAGATAAAATACATGCCTGTTCTCTGCAGATGACTGAGCCTCATGTGTACAGAGCTCCTGGCGTAGATGCAGATGTGCAGTAAGCATCCTTAGGTATCTCAAAAAGCTAGATGGTGTGCAAGGTTAGATACAGGAGAGGCATCTAAAAGACCAGGGCCCCCTTCCTCCAGGGCTTACACTCACTGAGAGAGACCTCAGGAAGTCTCTAGGGAGGAAAGTCACCAGCTTCTTTATGGCCTGCGTGCCTTTGTTCATTGATTTATGATGCTCTCTCCCTCACCATGTGTGCAGGGTGAGCTTCACAAAACCAAAATGAATGATAGCACGCAATCACTCTTAAAACACCCCAGTGGCTTCCCTACTTAGACAATGTGAAGTGCACTCATGACTCGGTGTGACTGTCCTGTTCCAGCTGGCTTCCACCTGCTCCTCCTGACCACCTGGCCTTGCCACCCTTCTCTGTTCTCTGCCGACCCAGGCCTTGCTCAGTTCCTTCTGGCATAATTCTGACTAACCTGAGTTTCCATTCACAATACACACACACACACACACACACACGCACACGCACACGCACACGCACACGCACACACCCCTGACCTCCCATCTCTATTGCTTGCTCCCTTCTGGCCTCCTTCCCGCTTTGAAAGTCTCTCTTTGACCGTGATTTCCAAGAGAGTCCCTCTCTAGATGCATCAACAATCTCTGCGTCAATAAACCAGGGATCTAGAGACTCCTGAAAAGGCTCCCACTTGGCCCAGTGTCTAACCTTCCTTGTGGTTTCTTCACTTGTAATGCATTTGCTGCAGGGAGGGTCCTAAGTGAACAGATGTCGTGACTGGATGGGATGACTGGAAGGGCTTTAGGATGATGTGGGTGCAGGGAGACCACAGAAGGTCATGTAGTTATCTGGGCTCAAAGCAACTATTCTGTTACTATCCCATTCTCCCAAATGAGGAAAGATGGGGAGGGGAGAGAGATGGCAGAGGGAGGAAGAGGAAAAATGGAGAAGGGGAAAGAGAGGAGACAGCTTTTACCCAAACCTAGAAAGAAGGGGGTCAGGTTGAGTCAGCCTTCCTAAAAAGAGGAACTTGAATCTTCCAGCTGAGGGAAACAACAGTTGGACCTCAAACTCCATCGAACTCTCTTTGAACTTCCCGCTGAAGTCCCATTGTATAGATCCAACCTAGGAACAGAGGCTTAAGGATCTGGGTGATACATCCTGAGGCAGAGGACAAGTTGAGAAAGGTGGGAACTGATCTGGAAGGCAGAGGAGCTCTGCCCAAGGTTGTCTTCCCTTCACATTGGCCCTACACTAATTGCTAGACCTAGCCTAGGGCCAGACCCTTAACAGGTATTCCACTAACATTCATCGACTATGAGAATAAATGAATGGCCACAGGAGTTACCACTTACTGAGCAACTAATGAGTGGATGGGTTAGACTCTAACAGTTAGAGTAACAATAATTTTGGCATAATCATAATCTCCCAAAATACACATGAAACGGACTTTAAGGGTATCCAAATATCACACACGCACACCGAAAGCCCTAGCTTCCTAAGCTAAACAAAGAAGGAAGGGCCAATGATTTTGCTCTGACACCCATGTTTGTCCCTTCCCCAAACGGCCAGCCCCTCCCAGCTTGATGGATACCATTTACTTTCTAGGAGGGGCTGATGGCCCTCTGCCCTGTTTGTTTTGTGGGCTGAAGACTCTTAATAAGAAGTAGCCACAGAGCTACCTCCCCTGGCATGCCTAGTATTGACTGCTCTTATCTCCTTTCTGCTAGCCAGTGAGGGAGGACATCTGATCAGAGGCCACCTCGGCAGCCAGGAAAGCCCAGGCTCTGTGTCAGCTTTCCTACTTACAAGCTGTGGGACTCTTTTGGGGCAAGCCACTCTCCCATTAGAAGCTCTGTTCTGAAATACAGATAACAGAATCTACTGCTCAGGGTCGTGCTTGATGCATGTCAAGTAACAAGTAGCAGAAGCTTATGAAAGCTTATGTCATATGTGTAGATTATCTCATACAGCCCTATAGGGAAGGGAGCATCTCTTAGCCAATCTGGTGGCCTCAGGATCTAATTTCAAGGACCACAAAAAGATCCAGAGCCTTTTAAATCTCCCATCCATATTATCAGTTTGATTGAATAAATGAATATTCCTATTAAGGTCTCATGTGTGGGGAGGGAAGCAGGTTGTGTGTGTGTATGTAGAGCCCAGAGGTCAACTTTAGGTGTCTTCCTTAGTCATCCTTCGTCTTGACCTTTGAGCCTGATCTAGACCTTACTGATTGAGCAAGACTGACTAGCCAGTCCACCCCAGGGATACGTCTATGTCTGCCTTCCTAGTAGTAAACTTGCACCCCATCATACAGCGAGTTCTTAGGAACAAACTCAGGTCCTCATGCTTGTATAGGGAGCAGTTTACTGATTGAGCCACCATCCTAGCCTTCCTATTAAGTCTTAAGCCTTGTAGCCACTAAAAATATACCGTACCCACCCTCCATCTGTGGTGGTTTGAATACGCTTGGCCCAGGGAGTGACACTATTTGAAGATGTGGCCTTGTTGGAGGAAGTGTGTCACTGTGGGTGTGGGCTTTAAGACCTTCATCCTAGCTGCCTGCAAGTCAGTTTTCTCCTTTTTTGCCTTTAGAACAAGACGTTGACCTTTCAGCTCCTCCTGCACCATGCCTGCCTAGACACTGCCATGTTCCTACAGTGATGATAATGGACTGAACCTCTGAACCTGTAAACTAGCCCCAGTTAAATGTTGTCCTTTATAACAGTTGCCTTGGTCATGGTGTCTGTTCACAGCAGTAAAACCCTAAGATACCATCTAAGGGTAATTACCACCAGCATGTCAGTACAAATTACTGTCTATTGTTTTCTAAGACTGAGTTTTATGTAGAGCGGGAAGAGTGGCTTTAGGTGGGGCTTATGGATACAGGAAAGCTGTGGTGGATGACAATGCAGCATCTGAAGACGAAATATTCCCATTGCACTGTTTGGGTCTAGGAATGCCAGCCTATAACTGGATGATATCAAAGTCACTAGGAAGAAGTCTCCAGAAAGCCATCCAAGACCTGTCCACTTGGAAACCATAGGTGCAATTTGATTTTATCAATGCCAAATGTCTATCCATTGTGAGGCTCGGTCTTCCTCACTTGGCAGAAGGAATAATCTGTTCAAAGCACCAGAAGTCAGGCAGCCTGGACCGACCTCCCAATGCAGCTGCTTCCCAGCAGGCTCCCCCATACCTGACTGATGGGCATTCTATGCAGACAGACAGACCTTCTACAGAAGGACCTTGTCTTACTTGGTTTAGCCACAACTATTACCATCTCAAAATCCCTCATAATTTCTTAACAATGGCTTTACATTTTTTTACCCCCACAACCTGCCTTAAAAAATTCTGCAGCCAGCCTTTGCCATGCATAATTTGCATTCTCTCCCTGTCTCTGTAACCTTGTTTGGAAAGCTGGAGTAACAATCCCTGCTGGTAAGCGGGGGTTAAATCAGACAAATATAGAAAGCCCCCTCCCATCTTACTTTGTGAATCCTTTTACTTTGAAAACTGTCCTTGATCCTCCCCGAGTGATGTGAGGTCATCTTGGTACCCACACCATGCCCAGTTGATAGTGGGAGACTTGGAACTGCTGAGTCACTTATCCAACAAACACAAAGGCAGAAACAGAGCTTGAACCCATCACCCCTTCCCTATGTGGACCATTCCATGGCCCAGCATGTGTCTTCCACGCCCCTTTTTGTCGGTGACGTTGGGCCTTGGGATGATTTCCCTGAGGCCTGCACCAGCATTCAAGAGAATCGGGGAGACAGGCAGATATGCTCCATACCCCATAGACAGCCACATTCTCAGACAAGGAGAGTCCCATCAGGTGAGGATGTTTGGCCTAGGTAGTGGGCGGCTCCCCATCCTCACATCTCACCTTGTGCTCCCTTGTTGGTGAGGACCAATCCCTTCTCTGCTTTATCTTTCTTCTTCTTTTTCAGCTTCAGCCCAAACATTCCCTTTCTGAAAAGAAAAACAAAACAAAAAAATAAACATAAAAAAAAAAACCCTCATCAATACAGTCATAGAAATGAGTCATTGCCCCTGCTGGGAGAAACAAGCACACAGAGATGGTGAGTCCTACTGGCTGGCCTGCCACCTCATCTACACGGGAGGAGGTCAAAAGACACCTGTTAGGGGAGCCTCCCCAGTCCCCTTGGTTATCCCCCTTTTCCACAAACTACCTCACGTGAGAGGGGCAGACTGGGGGTCCTAATCATGGTAGTCCAGCATCCCTCGTGTCTCCTGGCTTGCCTGTGCCAGGTGCTATGAGCAATTCTTAAGGGAAATGACATCATTTGCTAATGACAGCAGTTGTCTCCTACCTAACTTACAGAGGAGAAGCTAGAGAGAGAGTTATGACAGTTTCTCAGGCCACATAGGTCCTGGATATCTACTTGGTTTACAGTCTACTATAACCACAGGGGAACCTGAATCTCCCAGTCCTCTTGGCAGAGCCATCGATTCACCCGAGCCAGGCTCTCACACTGGTTCTGTGGTCAAGAGGTTCTGGTCCCTCTGAGGCCATACCATGAGCACTCCAATCAACTGCTATATAGTATATGCTCAAAATGTGAGTACAGTGGAGGCTTCGGTTGCTGCCATACTCCACGTGTGTTGCTTTGGGCTACAGAGTGTCCACTGAGGAGGTAGCAGCCCCGCTGCTCTCTCCTCCAAATGCACACTTCCTAGACCTCTGGTTCTGAATGTGGGACTGAAGGGCAGTGCAGTTCCATGGGCCAGGTCAGACTGCCTATCTCTCATCCCAGCGATGTCTGCACAACCCAGAACAGGCCCCTGAGCTCTCCTGACTTCAAGATTCCCATAGGAATAACAGTGTAATAAGTGGAAAGAAATTGTCACAGTACATGGAATGTCAGTTGCTCAATGAGTCTTTGCTGTTCTTGTTGTTGTTCTTGTTATTGTTATTATTGCTATTGTTGTTGTTGTTGTTGTTATGCTGTGAGTTCCTGGCCAGCCTGGAATATCTAGTGAGACCTTGTCTCAGTCTTATCTAAGGGATACAATTAAAGCCAACAAGCAGAAGAAACAAATCTCCATTTGATTGATTTACTCGTTTATTTCTTAAGCTTTTGTTATTCTTTGACCTAGGTGAAGGCACCTGCTCACCAATGCAGAGCAATGGAGTGGACTTAATTATGAGAGAGAGAGGGAGCCCCTGCCCCTGCAGGTCTACAAACCAAGGACACTGCTAAAGATGGCGTACTGAGGACAAGCATCACGATGGGACTCTGACCTATGGGAACGAAGGGTTGTGGAGAGTGGGCTGCAGCTGGCCTGAAATGCAGAGAATGCACTATGTTAGCACCCAGACATGGACTGGACTTCTTCCTCCTTGGGGAAGTCACATGGTCTCTCTGAGCCCCAGCTTCTTCATTTTGTGTGATAAAGAGATACCAGGGTACCTGATTCATGGCCTATGTGGGAATAAAATGCTGCAAAATAAACAGAAGCCTTAGTCAGTGCCTGGTATACAGGTGGCGGCAAATGAGTGCTCTCTGGGAGGGAATGTCATCATCCTAAATCCCCCAGGAACTTCCAGAGAATGAATACCAGGGGCCTCCCCTTTCTGAATTGTCTAAGGGAGCATTCCTGGTATTAGCTGTTGCTGGTTTCTTTTCAAAGAGTATCTGCCAAGCAGGGGGCCCACATCTGGTCCTTTCCAAGCCCTGAAAACCATACATATGCTCCTCAAGAGCTCATTGCCATGAGTGGTTCATGGAAACAGGACCTCATCAGGAACTTGGCCAGTATCTGCTGGCTACTTGTCAAGGATGAGTTATTTCCACCTGCGAAGGGGACACTGTTCCCAGTCAATGATAATGGTACCATAAGGAGACCGAGCATACACAACATGAACGGCCTGACATTCTGGCTTCTCCCAGATGAACTGCTGACTAGATCATTGGGGCATAGCTGAGAATGCTACCAAGGCAGAAGGAGATGGGGATTCCCATCCTTTGACACAGATACCCTTTCCCCTTTGAAACAAAGGGAGCTTGACACTGCTGTTCATTGGGGTCTCCTAAGGGTTTCAGTCTTTAAAAGAACAAAAACTGATGTCTTGAAGTCCCTTCAGAAAGTTTTACTTAATCAAGGGCAGGGCTGGAGTTCAAAAGCCCTTGTCTAGAATGCATATCTCTGCAGAATAACAGAAGGAATGTTTCAGGAATGCCCTGGACATTTTTATCAGTTCGCTAACATCAGTTTGGTGAACATAGAGTGTCAGCCGAAGACTGTGAGCCAGCTATTGAGGGTGTTCCTGGAAGATGCAGCTTGGGGAAACTGTGTGACCAGGTACTTAGATGAGCTTTTATCCCCCTTTGTGACACAAAGACATTTATCACTCAACTCAAAATGACACTAAAATAAGAAATATGTTTATAAAGTATAAGGCTTGCTAGACATTACTACAGTATCAATGACAAGATAATAGGAATCTTAATTATCTTATAATGAGCCATATGACAGAGATCACATTTTCCATCTGATCTCTTAGGATTGCCACAACATACTATGGAGTAAATACCACTCCTATCATTTCTTATAAAGTAGAGTTGGGGCTTCTAGCCAATACATGGAAACCAACTACCAAGTCAGGAAGACTTGTCCAATGAGTCTCCAACTTATCTTCCATCACACCTGCCGTCTCCTGTGTGATGATTACTCTAGCATGGAACTCCAAAAGGACAAGGCTTTCCAGCACAGAATCTATGACATCTCCTCCCAGGCCACCCAGGAGACGTTAAGAGACACACAGACACAACCATACCAACCTGGTCTTCTCAGGGTGAAAGCTACCATGACTCCGATATCTGTGTCCAAACAAGAAGAATGTTAAACAAGGCCTGGATTAGACTAGATTCTGCCCATCTGCTTGTGGCATTGGTGCAAAGCACCTGGAATGCCAGGCACAGCTAGTGTGACATCGAGGAGAAGGGGCTGGACTGGCTTTTAAAGTGGCTTTTAAAGCGACTTCCCAATTGTTTCATTGATGGAACTCAATCAATGAACTCCTCCGAGCACCAGGCTCTTCTTTAGAGGGCAGTCCTAAGTCTATTTCCTACACTGGGTCATTATGCAGGCAACCTTACTGAGCTTCCTGGTGAACTATTTATAGAGAGCTAGACCCATTTCTTTAGATTGCTAATTTCATATCTTTTTTATGGCTCCATGGACCCAGAATTAGAAAGTTGCCTGAAGCCAGAGTTGTGTCATTTCTTACTTGGGTTGCCAGATTCCCTTCCACCACCAGCCAGTTTTTCCAGCTTCACTGAAGAACAAAAACAGCTTGGGCCAAATGGCCAAGCACTGGGCTAACTGTGCCAATGGTGTGACCAGTACAGGTCTGTGCTGCCTCCTCCCCATCTAAGATCCAAGTTGCTTGAGCATTTCATCTTCTAAACCCTCAGTCTCAACATCCGATATAGAAAAGGAACAAAAGCAAACCCAGAGCTAAACACTGGATTTATTTCTATGAAAACATCAACATCTTTAAAGGTTAAACTATATGCAGTTATACGTTTAATAGAATTTTGTTACCAAAGGAATTAATTTGCCTACAAGTCTATTTTTTAAAGAAGTGTTGGCATGATGGTACAGCTGTGTAAGCCCAGTCCTGAGGAAGAAGGATGCCAAATTCTGAGTCAGCCTGGGCTACAGAATGAGACCCAGTTCCCGAAACAAAACAAACAATAGCAATGAAAAGCAAGACATTCCACCATTCTAAGATTATCCAAAGCCTTAGATAAGTTCCCAGTTGCTGGGTATGATCATATCAAAATAAATTAATCCAGGTTCAGAATGAGGACTGCATGTTTTCTTTCATTTCTGAATCCTAGACTTTACATAGATATGTGTATGTGTTTGTATGCGGTTCATGTGTGCATGTGTGCATGAATGTGTGTGTGTGTGTGTGTGTGTGTGCAGTGGTCAGAGGCTAACCTTGAGTATCCTTCTTCAAGAGCTATTTGCTATTTTTCACTTTGTTTTTTGAGACGGGTTCTCTCACTGGGTGCTGGGGCTCTGTGATTAGAGTAGGCTAGCTGGCCAGTGAACCCCAGAGATCCATCTGCCCCCACCTTCTCAGCCCTAGGATTTATCAACACACGTCACCATACCCATCTTTTTCCTTGGGTGCTAGGATTTGAACTCGTCCTCATGCCTGCGTAGCAGGGAGCTTTATTGACTCAGTTTTCTTTTCCGTTAAGGGATATTGAAAAGAATGTTCTCTGCCAATGGGGGAAACAATACACACTGCATTCAGAATACTTTGTGGACATACCTGTTTAGGGGGTATTTTTAACTCAGTGTCTCACCCCTTTCCCTTCACCCCACCACTGTAACAGCCACAGCATTGACTCTCTTTGCTTCTTTCTTAATCATGGGCTCAGTCCAGCCATGAAGGAACATAAGCCTCATGTTTAAGAGAAAAATAGGCTGTCTGCTATGGGGTTGGAAAAAGTCCTTGGACAGCTAATGGCCTGAATGAATTGAATACCAACTCTTTGTCCAGTGGGACTTCATCAAGGCAAAAGGATATGCTCTTAACAGAACCTGAACTGCCCTTGTATTATACATTCCAACACTGATACCCCCCATGATGAGACCCCAATGTTACAACTTGACTGACAGTCATTAAGAACCTGAATATTTTGAACTACAAGAAGTCAGCTGAGTTAGTAATATACCTCCAAGGACTCTAATTAGTGCCCCCTCTCCCTGTGAGTTCTCGGAACCCAAGGCAGTTTGAGAGTGCTCTGGTGCTGCAGTGCAGGGAATGAGGCCAGGTGAAACCAGCCCCCCAGAATTCATCAGAAGTTATTTACCAAATGTTCAAGAGCAAAGTGGCAGGAGGGTATAACTGGAGGAGAGCCCAGGGAAAGGGGGGCTTCTTTCTTGTATGCTTCTCCCTCACTCCTCTGCATCATGGCAA